AAAGCTTTTGATAGGATTTCTTGGACTTTTACTAGGCTTGTGTAACACCCCGGCCCGTGGGACCCGAGGTAGTTACTCCGGACCAATAGTACTGTCCTCACAAACCGCCACTAGCCTTTTACGCGCACTTTGTCCTCACTCGTGCGTGCCCTGAGAAACTTCACAGGGGGTCACCCATCCCAAGACTACTCCCGTGCAAGCACGCTTAACTTTGGAGTTCTTGGCTAATGAGCTCCCTTAAAAGGAGATGCACCTTGTTGGTATGAGTAGTACTATTAATCCGTTTATATTAAATCTCAAGTGTTACAATCACCCCCACTTAGGATCGCAACGTCCTCGTTGCGCCCTTAAACCAATCTCAATCAAATCCCAGAAAACTTTTCCCCTGCTAGGTATCTGCCCGATATCCAACGGATCAGCACACTGTCGCAGGGTTGCTCTGATACCATTTGTAACACCCCGGCCCGTGGGACCCGAGGTAGTTACTCCGGACCAATAGTACTGTCCTCACAAACCGCCACTAGCCTTTTACGCGCACTTTGTCCTCACTCGTGCGTGCCCTGAGAAACTTCTCGGGGGGTCACCCATCCCAAGACTACTCCCGTGCAAGCACGCTTAACTTTGGAGTTCTTGGCTAATGAGCTCCCTTAAAAGGAGATGCACCTTGTTGGTATGAGTAGTACTATTAATCCGTTTATATTAAATCTCAAGTGTTACAGCTTGTGCTAAAGAGTTTCGGTTTTCACCCAATTTTTATTAATCTTATCATGAACAACCTTGAGTCCACTTGGTTTTTTGTTCTCATAAATGATGCTCCAAAAGGATTTTTCAAACCTTCCAGGGGTGTTAAGCAAGGGGACCCTCTTTCCCCCATACTGTTTATTATGGCTGCTGAGATTCTTTCAAGGCAGATAAATACATTGTACCAAACCGGAAAAGGTACACCTTATCACACCTATAGAGGTATGCCTGCTATAAACCACCTTTCCTTTGCTGATGACCTAATTGTCCTCTCTAATGCTGAGAAAAAAACTCTTGTTGAGCTCAGCAATATCATCTCTGATTATGAAAAGTATTCTGGTGAGCTTATTAATAAAGGTAAAAGCTTTTATCTCATTTCTAAGCATGCTAAAAACCATAATCACTTGATAGTTAACAACATCTTTCAAATAAAAAAGGGTTCCTTCCCTTTCACTTACCTGGGGGCTAATATCTTTACTAGCAGAACCCTAAATTTATATTTTGAACATATCTTAGCCAAGTTTGATAAAAAAAATTAGCGTGCTGGAAGCATAAGCTTCTTTCTGTTGGTGGTAGGATGATTTTAATTAAACATGTGCTTAGTTCTCTTCCCCTGTATCATATGGTTGTTCCCCTCTCCCCAGGAATATCATTTACAAAAGGGAAAACTGTCAATTACGCCCTCCTACTATGTACGGAAAGTCGATTAGGTCCCCTTACTTTAAAAACACCCAATTATATCCTTAAACTCTTAAAAAACGTTCAATTGAGTATATCTAGCAGGCCACCCACCGGTTTCCCAGTTAACTACACGCATGGCAGCCCATGTGGCAGACCACGTGGCCATTTTTCATTTTTCTCTTTATTTTCTTGTTCCTTATCTTTCCTTATTCCCTTCTTTCTTCCCATTTTCTCATCCTGATCTGGTTTGTGCGCACGACGCCTCCTGAACCTATCCCCCCTCTTTTGTTTCTATTCTTCCCTCTGTTTCTTCTTTCTTCTTTTCCTTTTTATTGCAATTCTCTTCTTTTTTTTCTTGTACAAAGCCTCAGCTCATTCCTCTTCTTCCCAGAAACAAACTCGCCGGAAATCGGGCTGAGATTAAGGCGATGGCCGCCGTCTCAACCATTGGAGCCAACTGCTACACAGTCACCAACTTCGCCGGAATCTACTACGCAAAAGAAGAAACGAACAGAGAAGAAGAGAGTCTTTCGAGGACGGTAGATGCTGCCACCTTTTGCAGAAGCCTGGCAGATCTCGTAGCAGTCGGAATTTGTCCATACTCGCAGCCGCCATCATCGACGGTGGTGCCATTGAAACTGATGCTCGGATGTACGACGAGCTCACCATTGTTGGCAGTCTGGCACCTTAATTTCTGAAATAGTCAAAGAGGGCATCTTGATTTATGAAAATGAAGGAAGAACAAAAAGTTGCAGAGGAACGAAAGTTGTTGCAGAGGTGCGCTGGGAACGAAGAGAACGAGACAGAAATAAGAAAAGAAAAGAGAAAAAGAAATAGAAAAGATGAAAATTGCCACGTGGCCTGCTACACGTGCAGTTTACCGGAAAACTGTTTGGTGACCTATTAGATATACTCAATTGAACGTTTTTTAAGAGTTGGAGGATATAATTGGGTGTTTGTAAAGTAGGGGGACCTAATCGACTTTCCGTACATAGTAGGAGGGCGTAATTGACAGTTTTCCCTTTATAAAATGGAAAGGAAACCTTCCAATTTTCTCCGGGATAAGAATTCTGACCACAATAGGTATACTTCGAGAAGTTGGACAAAGTGTTGCTATCCGGTTAATGAAAACGGAAGGTGAATAATGATTCGGGTTTTAAGAGTTTTAAGAGTTCTCAGAAACCTTAATTATATTCAAAAAGCTTTTTTTCTAAAACTTCTTTGGAAGGTGAATAATGATTCGGGTTTGTGGGCTTATTGGTACAATTCCCTAAAAAATACTTCCCTTTTTGTTATGCACAATGCCATTAATTCTGTCAATCACATTTTTAACAACAACTGCCGAATGCAGGTTAATCAAGGAAACAACCAGTTCTGGTACACGAACTAGTCTGAATTGGGGCCTCTTTGCACCTATCAAAAAACTGTCCCAGAGGAACCCTGAGCATCTGTAGCGCCATGCCAGGTGGTAATCTGCTTGATACGGTTGCCTCTTACATGCCCAGATATGTGTGTGACAAAATCACATCCTTGCGCATCACCTTCAATACCAGTAAGGATGCTCACATTTGGAAACCGAACCCCAATGGTAAATTCAGTTTTTCTAGCGCCTATGATGTTATTCGGCATAGGCGAAGCTCAAAACCAAACGCTGACTGTGTTTGGAATACACGAACACCAAAAAAATCTCTTTTTTTATATGGCGGCTTGAAAATCAAATCTTGCCTTTTGAAAACAAACTAAACCAAATTGGTATTCTGGGCCCTTTTAAATCCCCCATCTACCCTCATCAGGATACCATTGATCATTATTTTCTAAATTGTCCCTTCAGTAGAGAGATTTGGAATCACTTTCAAAATATTTTCAAATTCAGGCCGTCAAACCATACTACTATTTGGAACTACATTTTAGGGTGGTACAATAACTTCAAAGAGCCAATTGCGGATTTGAATTTCACAGTCCCTAATATTATCCTCTGGAAGGTCCGGAACAAAGTTATTTTTGATGATAAAAAGTCTTGCCTAACTGAGGCCATTAATGCTATTAAAACTGAAATTTTTGCCATGTCGGTTGCCAATCTGTTCCCCCGTACCAGCCCTAATATCCCGATCAACATATGTACGGTAACCCCAAGGAAAAAAAAACCTCCTAGTCTTAACGGCTGGCAAAAACCACCACCCACATACTTCAAAATTAACATGCCCTCTCAGAACCTCAAACCAAACTTCATCCGTACGGCTGCCCTCATTCGTAATGAATATGGCAACTACGTTAAGCATGAAACCCATCTGGCATCCCACGAGAATGGCACATCTGCCACTTACGAGGCCTTGATTGATCTTATCCCTATTGTCAAGACTCTAAATACCAATAATATTATAATAGAGGTAGATAACAGGGAAGTCTACGAGGGGCTCACAGGTATCTCAATCCAACATTGGAGTTGCTGGCCACACATCCAAAATATCAAGAAGAGACCCATGACACACAAATGGTCTATCACGCACATACACCCGAGTATAAATAGGGCTTCTGAGTATTTAGCTTACCAAAATACTTCGGTAAAAACCAATGATCATCATTTTAATCATTTTGTTGGTATTCTCAAATTTGATGCTACCAATTTTCCTTGTGTTATTTAAATTCGAGTAGGCTTTGGTTTGGTCCTCCTACTCCTTGTATTCTCTTTTTATTATAATAAATAGGTGGAGTGTTCCCTGGCCCCCACCCCAAAAGACCTGCGGGCTTTTGGAAACTTATTGGGTATAAAAAAAGGTCTGAATGCTTGTGCTCTATTAGCAATATACTCCTTAACAGTCCCAGATACATATACTCCGCACATTAACTATTTAGTTTAGTTATTTAAGCATTTAACATTATTATTTATGTTAACGGTCCCTCTAAGGCTCTTATGCCTCTAATCTCTTATTAGAGGCCTAGATGATCGGAATTGAGTGCTCTGGTCGTGACCCTTGAAATGAATGAACTTTTTCTGGCTAATTATCTTGCTGATTCAAGATCATAATTATTGATTGTAGTGAATATGTTGTTTTGTTTTATTTACTAAAATTTTCAGCTTGGTGTGTATTTATGTTTTAAACTCAACTTATGAGATTTGAAATGATGGTAAACATGTTTGTATTTCTTGTAATTTCAAACGTTGAATGTTTTTTGGCACAAATTTTAATGGTGATTTGTAAGATTATTTTTAAAAAAAATAGGAACCGTTAAATGACAAGAATCGAACCGTTAAAAATGGCTCGGTTCCATATCAGTTCTATAAAAAAAATATAAGAACCGAACCGTTATTAAGATTTGATATTTTTCAAACGGTTCCATCAATTTTGCTTAGCAACCGAATCGGTCCTAGGTCTAGGGGTTTACTGTCTACAGTAAAAAACACAAAAAAAAAAGGAAATATTGGTTAGTTTTGTTCCCAATAAAATTTGACGGTGGCGCCAAATTCAAAAGGGTGTACAAACCAAATTGATAGATCAATTGTCTTTCCTCCACTTGTTTAAAAAGCATTTGTTCTATCTCCTTGACAGCTCATACAATCCTTTTTTTTGGTGATGCTCATACAATCCTTTTAAAAAGCGGTTGATGTGCTCTCTTATCTCTACTCAACTCATTCTTCTTCTTAATTGAATTCTTTTTCTGGTTTATACTTCATAGCTTTATCATTAAAAAAAACAAACGCCCTCTACATTACCTACACAACATCACTCCTCAAATGGTCAAAAGCTTGTAAGGACTGTTAAGAAAATAGAGTATTGAAGTAGTTCTTATTGATAACATGGATAAGATGTAATAAATTACTTTTTAAGATATATATTTCAATAAAGTTACTAATATGTCATTTCTAATATCTCACTCTCACTGATGTTGCTATTTCTCTCTCTAGGGTGGGTTTCCACCGCTATGGGTTTTTCCTCCGCTATCATTTGTAACGAGGAGAGGCCGCCGCAGGCGAGCTTAGGCGTACAAGGTTTCTTCTTCCACCATCAATTGTGTGGCTATTTTTCTTCTTTTGCTTTGGTGAGATTAAACGGGGGGGAGAGGATGTTTGGTCTCCGACGATCGAAGGTTGTGCAGGGACGAAAGACGGATGCTTGGTCTCCGGCGGCCAAAGGTCACAGACGAAGCGTGGGGCTAGAGCTTGGAATGGATCTGGATTCGAGGTCATCTGTGTTAGGTGGCGAAAGAGGAGGCTTGGTAGAGAACATGATGAATAAGAGGCAAGACGAGGAAGAAGCTACTATACTGTTGGATTGTCCTCCTCCTGTATTGTCGCAATGGAGTGCAGGAGAGTCTAGGGTTTGGAAGCAGCTTTTTAATTTTACTGTTTGCTTGCGATTTAGTTTTCATGATCAGACTGTTTATTTTTTTGTTGGTTACTTTTATTGTTGTAAGACTCTTGCATTAGGATTGAGTGATGGAAGGTCTGTTTTAACCGTTGTTGGCTCATTTATGCCCATTTATAAAATCAGTGAGTTATATTGCTTTATAAAAGGTGGTTGACTCTAAGTCTGGTTCGAGAGCTGGCGGTTGTCTCACTACTACATTTAAAGGCCTTTTGTAACACTCAAATTTGTTACTTTAGATCTAAAAAACTGTTACATTTTATTAAATGTAACAGTTTTGTGCCGTTACATTCGCTCGCGTTACCTTTTCTTTATTGTAACAGTATGTAACGATTTTTAAAATCAATTGTAACGCTTTTCGAAAACAAACCAAAAGTGTTACCAAACCCATTATCACAAATCAAGTACAAATGTAACAATTTTTCACTTGAGCAAATGTAACACTTTGATAAAAATATGTAAAAAAATATTACACTTATTTTAATATAGCATGTACTCTATATATGAGATATAACTTCAAATTCGTCAATGATTTGTACATAAATCAGAAATAATATTAAAAACAAATCTTTTATATAAACTAACGAATATCAAAACAAATTTGGTACATTTATAGTACATTGCATACAGGTATTTATCCAGTCTAACATTACATGCCAACTACAAAAATATGGAGTACATATCAACACCTAAATCCTTATCAACTGCTCTTAATTTGGGGCATCCATGCCCATTTCTCAACTGGTTTTGTAAGGCGAGATCATCCATTATGTGGTTTCATTCTTTTCCTCTCCATGTGCATGCATTTCTTGTCTGTAAATTAAAGCAAATATTTCAAAACATTAGCATCTATATATATAAACTTCTACATCAGTATAGGGGTAGGCACGGATTGGAATTGGAGTTATCCAACGTCTGATGTAATTAAAAAATGTACACAATTGTTCTTAAACTGTCAAACAAATACAAAGTACTATGTACCATTCTCAAATATTAATGTGAAGATTAATAGAACATTCTGAAAGCAAAAAAAAACTCTGCAATACTATAAAGTAAAAAGAGTTATTTGGAAAGATTTAGAAATTGTGAAATAGTATTCTAATATAGAAAAAGAACATTCTTACAAAAAAATAACTCTAGATCTGAAAGCTAAACATAATGCTTAGGATCATGGTTAAGAAATTGAACTTTCATGGCAAAGATATATTCTAAATCGCTAAAGATTTATTAATCAAGGGTTTGCATTCAAGTGGAATGTATGACGTCTCAACAACCAAAGATCGGTAGGTTAATTTACTTCTAAATGTAAACCTTAGTTGAATAATACAAACTATTGAACTTACACAACAGGATTCTTTTGAGAAAATATTCAGAAATCCGCACATCTATGATCTACCCACTTAGTTTGATTGTAAAGAGCTCCAGTTTAGTTGAAACAAATTTATACCTTAACAATATTGCTTTGCCGATCTGCACATCTATGATCTACCCACTTCAGAAATCTCACAGAGCAATCAAACTATCAAAAGATATGAGACTATTAATCTTATAAATAGAGATACTCCCATCAATACCATATTTAGTTTTCCACTCATCTCTAGCAAATCACAAACCCAACTACATTCAGTAAAAGAAGGACCCAAATGGAACAAGAAGGTCCTTGGAAAATTAGAATGTATTTTGTTTTGAATTCTCCACTTTTATTAAATTTATACAAATGCCCAGAAAACCTCATTCTTTTAGTACTTATAAGTTATAACTAACATGTCAATACATTCTCAAATTAATCATGATCTAATTAGTATCTAACTCACATGCACAATGAATGTGTCAATCGAATATGCAAATATGCAATGATGTTTTCGGCCTGTTTAGTCATAGTACTAGCTTCAAGCTGGATGAACGCTGAAAGGCAGGTCAGAGGAATTATATATGATAAAATAGCTTATTAATGTTTTGGATTTCAATAACAGGTGCTCAAAGTTTTTCTCCCATTTGAGAATATGAGACGTGGCAATAAAAAAAACCGGCCATTGATGCATCATAATATTCATTCTATTCAAAGGCAAAACACATTTGTTATCTTTAATATGAAAATAATCATGAAAAATGCCTGAAAATTATCTGTTTTTCATATAAAAATGTTGCAAGGAACACAATAGCATCATCGGTAAAATCATGAAAAGATGAAGAAGATAAAATACCTGCTTTTCTAGTTTAGACATTTCTTCAAACACCTTTCGTGCAGAACTAACATTGCTTGTTCTTATCATCTTTTATTCTTGATTAACCCATACATAATCTACAAAGATCCTAAAACGCAGAGAGGGAAAACAATATTGCAATTAAGAAGATAAACAAATGATGGAGTTCTGATATATAGCCTTTGAATTTCTAAAACCAACTTTAATAAAACAATTCATGAATGAATACTGAGAAAACGCCAGCAAGAGACGACCACACATGTTACACCGTAGAAATCTAAGAAACCGCCACATAAACGAGATTAAAAAGGCTGGGCTCAAACCACGGAAAGTACAAACGAGAAAAACCCTGGAATACTAGAAGATGTGATTCTGGAATACTAGAAGATGGAATTACCTGGCTTAGATAGTGAAATTAAATGTGGAAGAAGCAGATGAATAGTGAGCCCGAGAAGAGTGCATCGCGATCCGTAACACCTCCAGCTCCAAGTCGTCCGTCTCCGGCTAGCTGATATAGGCAGTGTGAAGGGGAGTGTTTTGCAGAACGCAGATAGGCGGTGAAGAATTTTGGTGTCCTTAGGGCTTTTTAATTAATCGCCCGCAACTTTGGCCTTTAGTTTTTGGCACTCTTTTTTCTAGATATTCATAGTGTTACATTAGTTCGGTAAAAGGTAACAGTTATGAAAGAAATGTAACACTCCACTAACACAATAGAAGTGTTACATATGCTAATACCTAATGTAACGATACATTCAAAAGTATTACAATAGGCTTATTTATTGTAACACTTTAAACAAATGTTACGATTTTAATGTTACACTAGACCTTAAAATGTAGTAGTGTCTGTGGCCTAGTTAGTTAAATACGGTACGGGAATTAACCGTGGTTTAATACGCACGTGTTTTATTCGGTAACTTGAACAAAAAAATACGGTCAAAAATTCGGCAAAAAATACGTTGACTTTTAAAAAACGTGTAAATACGTATATGTGTATAATACGGCATTTCTTAGAAAAAATCGGGTTAAAAATACGGGTCTTATTTTGAGTGCTTAAATTATTGTACTAGTTTTTAGAGCATAAAAAACATATAGTACACACACATTCAAATAGAATACCTCTTCACTCCATCAAAAAAAGCATTCATAAATCATAATAGCATAAGTTCACGACAAAAAGAAATACTCCGTAGTAGTTAAGTCTAAAATAACATGAAATTATATATACTTCATAAAATAACATATAATAAAAAGAAATAAGAGTGTACACATATCGAAGTAGTAAATCACATTAATGCATAAAAGAATAATTTGTAATTGTATAAGCCGATGACAAAAGTAAAAATAGCAATCAAGTCCAAGACATAATTTTGCAAAGTAATGTCAAAAAATAAGGCATAATAACGATAGAATGAGACCAAGTTAACATCATCATCATCTTTATATGATCATCATATACCACTCAAGTTAAACTTGTCATTTTCACCTAGATGACGGATGACATATGAAAAAGTTGTGCGACTGATACGCTTATTATTATTATTATTATTTATTTATGTGTAAAAGTTTACACTAAAAATGTCAGGTTTAGAAAAACTTTAATTTTGATATGCTTGTTTGGAAAAGAACATCACATATCTAATATGTAGTAGTATTTTAGGTTTTAGTCTTTTAAGATGATAGCTTTAGATATAATGCAATTAATTTAATATTTAACAAGTATATATTTTGTAATGTATCAATACAAAAACACGGGGTCATGGGGATGATGTTTTCTTTTTTTGCTTTTAAGCTAATGTTGATCTCCTGTTCATTTGATGTATTCATTCAATTGACCAAATCATGTTTTGTTTTTTTATAAAATACGTAAAATATACGTTTTATACGGGAAGTAGAAGTTTTTTTCCTTTTTAAACGGACCGACATTATTTTTCGTTTTAAACGCGTTTTTTTGTTCAAAAAAACGGTACGTGTTTTAAACACGTTTTAAACGGAAAAAAGCTAACTAGGGTCTGTGGCCCTTTTGTCATTTTATTGCCTATCTGAATGCTAACGTTGTGATATCAATTTAAGTCCCCTTAGTCTAAAAAAAATATCTCAATCTCACTAACCGCCATTGTTAGTGATCCTGCCAGTACCAGCATCGATGCCACCGCCAATGACACCACACAACTAGCACTTTCGCAATTTCACCGGTAACTTATATAGGATACTGCCGGTAACAGTTACTATCAGTGGCGTATCCAGGAATTTCCGTCAGCGGGATGAACTCACATTGATTATTCCACGCATCTCATAAACAATGGTCACTTTAAGAAAAAAAATAGTGTAAAATCGATTATAAATAATAAATTATTCGTGGAAAAAATATTACAATAACATAATTAAAATGACATGGCAGATAACATTTAACTTTGCTAAAAATATTAATCACACATTTTATAATTTTTTCAAAATTATGATAAGAATAAAAATCAAAATAAGAAATGAATCAAATATGTATTAAGAATTAATTTAATTCTTTCCTACAAGTACTCCGTGTAAATTAGGTGTAGCAATGTACTCCCTCCATCTTGTAGAGAGGTTCTCACAGGATTTATGATATCTGACTGACCATAAGGTAAGTTGATTCTTGTTCCTAATTACATTCTTTTAGCAAAAAAAATTACATAATCAGAGAATAAATTAAAAGCTTTATAAAGTCTCATAAAAAAATCAAATTTGATAAAAGTTGTATATACGTAGTATAAAGTAAGAGATTAAGAAAACCTTAAATTAACCGGAGTATTTGGACGAAAGTGTAAAAGTACTTCTGGTGCTCTAACTTACTTCTAGAAGCAGTTTTTTTAGAAGTTGGGGAAGAACGGTTTCTAAAAACTGATTCTGCTTCTATTTTAAAAAAGAAGCAAAAGCAGAATCAGTTTCAAACACCCCCTTCATTTATTATAAGAAAAAGCATCCACATACAAGGCGGAGCTAGGGCACTTGAC